TATATCATGTAAAACTGTAACTGGAGCGTGTAACAAAAGTAATTTCCCTCTGGGATTATTACAGTATTTCTGATTCTGAGTCAAATAGTCAAAAAATCATTTCACACACAAAGGGGGGGGCTGAGTTTATCCCCTTTGTCTTTACAGAGCAAATAAACGTGATATGAAGATACTGACTGGTTGAAATTCCAAGCAGTAAAGTTTAACATGTTCCTGCTTAAAAAGAATAAAGACTTAACAAGGAATCTATGAGAAGAATGTTAGATCTGTTCTAGCCTAAAAAAATCGTTTTCATAATCTTTCTTTTTATATTTTTTTTTGCTCTGAGTGCTTTCAATATATTTTCTTAATGGGATTCAGAGGAAAGAAGATTTGGATCAAATATTTTCACACAAGAGGCCATACTTATTTCTCTGGAGGTTTAGTTTTACTTACTGATGTAAAAGGTGCTGGGCGCCTGCTGGCCTTCAAACTGAAGTATGAGAAGGTTGCTGGTTTGACTGTCATGGCGTAACCACAGGGCCACTCCTAAGATCACACCTCCGGCCAGCTGTTGCAAAGGAAACAGGCTTTAAATGTTCTTTCCCACATTTTTTCCCCCCACTTTAGTGACACCCTTAGGAACGGGCGCCATATATGGCTATAATGAACTTTAAATACATAGAATACAGAACAAACCAGGGTTAAAAATGTCCTCAAATTACACTTAAACTTTTTTTCTCATTTCTTTCTTAACTCCAGAGCGAAACTGGGATCTGTAGACTGGGAGAAGGACATCCTGACACCTCCATGACCCGTGGCACAGAACGTGCCCTCGCAGCATTGTTCGAAGCCAAATCAGCGCCAAACAGCTCTGCCTGCTGTTTCATAAAGGAACAAAAATATTCAAATGTGTTTCCTGTCTTAGAGGCAAATGAAGCATTGGGGTCGTTGACATTCTGATGCCAATATTCAACCTATATCAAGATTTCTCCTCCCTTATTATTTTCTCTCTGTTATTTCACCTGATTGGTCACTATTGTTCACAGAGAAACAGGAAACTGAAATCCTGATGTGAAAAATAGCTGAACGAGGAAGAGGGGGCTCAAGAGCTTTCACAAAGACGGGCACAGCAGCGCAAGCAGCAGAGGAAGCCGTCGATTAAGTTCGGTGAGTCCAGGATGTGGTGACTCTGCTCATCTAAACAATGCACTGCTGTTTAATGTTCCAAGTGGAAAATTAAATATAGATCCTGGGTGAATGTCAGTATCGGCTGAGGCGGCTTAACTTTTGAGTTTAGCAAAGAAATGACAGATATGGAAAAATGTTGGACGTTTTATTTTAAATCTTGGAATAATCTTGAATAAATGTTGTCGTATCAAACTGAAGTTAATTTAGTCGTCTTTTTATCGTGATTTTCCTAATCCCTGTGAAGATTTTTAACAAATGTACCAATTAACCTTTAACCCTTTAAAGCCAAATGTATCGTATTTGATACATACGGTTTCTGAAATGTTTTGCGTCTGAAACCTTTTGCATAATTTAATGGTAAAAACTTTGCTCAAAATCCTATTGTACACAATCAGATATACCTGATAACAGCCAGCAGAAGACTACACAAAAATAATCTTGACTTATCGCATAGTAATAAATCATTAATGTTTTTTCTTTTTACATATTTTGTTAAAAGGCCAAAAAAAAGTAATTTTCTGTTTGGTTTTATTCTTGGATCGGACTTTAAAGGGTTAAAGCCTGAACCATGAAATAATTCACAGAACATTCAAATTTTTCAAAATTAGAATTTCATCAAACTCTCTGAAAATTAAATTAGATTATTTATTTGATACGTTAGGCATTTCTGTATAACCTTTTATATGTCAGAAGTCTCAAAAACTCCTGTATTAAATATGCCTTAGATGGTTAACTCATTCAAACACGCTGTCACTTCTGCTCAGCCAGAGGTCGTTCTGTAGGAAGCTTATTTTCAGACCTTCTCTGATCCAGATTTAAAATTAGAATTCATTCAACTTTATTGTCATTGTCAAATACAAAGCAACAAAATTCATTCTGCATTTAATCCAATCCACAGCAGTGGGCTGCCATTGTGCGGCTCAGGGAGCCAGAGGTGGAGGCTGTGGGGATCGAACCGGTTACTTGCAACCTTCTCAGAAAAGAAGTGCACTGCTTTAACCACCAGGCCAACATCCCCATTTAGCATCTGTGAGTTAATCCTGCTTTTTCTCATGAGCCACAAACTATAAAACATGTAACCCTCTAAGATACAAGCTCTAATCTGTTTACGTGCAAATATGAAGCAATTAAAAATGGATTCAACACAATTTTTAAAGAAAGGAGACATGAAATTACTTAGACACCAGAAAAGTAAAAAATGCAAAAAACAAAGACTGACTCACCCAGAAAATAAAATTAAAGAAAAATAACATATATTTGATGCATTTTGTGCAGCCTGCCACAGCCATGGTCGCCACTTCTTTTCAGCTCGTCCTTCACTTCAAACCAAAGTCTACTTCCAGGATTTCTGAGACTTTATTCAGGCCAGCTTAAACAGAAACTCCTCCTTTAGTAGGATGAGTGAAAACCGATGCGGGGACCTGCCCACCGAGTGGAGCAGACGGGGCAAGGCTGAGAGGAAAACAAAGTGTGGAGGGAGGGGGGGGGGCCCACGTTTCCCTTCAGCAAGGTTAGGATTTCACACCGAAAAAAATCTAAATCTACATAAGTTATTCTTTCTTCAAATAAATGCATTTGTTCTTGGATTGAGGAGGTGAAAGAGACATTTTGACAAAGAAACAAGAAAATTTACTTTTAAAATAAAAAAGCACAATCACAATATCTTATTTCAAGTGTATGTCACCTAAATATTTTATTTAAACAGTAAAAATATTAATTCATATTTACCTGCTCAAATTAAAGGATAAATACACTAAATTTAAGGAACTTTTGCTTATTTCTAGATAATTTTTTTCAGTGCACGGGCACCATAGTTAGATTTAAGCAGTTAAAAGAGGCACATAAACGGAGCTTTGCAACAATATTCAGATATTTTAAGCTGTTTTAAATGTTTTAGGTGTTAAACCAACAAACACACAATAGATCGACATGCAGAGAACTGGTATGAAAGGAAGGAGAGGAATAAATGTTTTCATTTTCAAATGAAAATATGAAAAGCATTAACTTTAGAGCAGGGGCGGAGCTAGATGGGGGGCAGGGGGTGGCCATGGCCACCCATAGCCAAATCGTCGGCCGCCCCTGTGGCCACACCTACTATTTATTTCCCTCTAATACAGATGGTGGCAGCAGTAATACTCTCAATATTCAAAACATTTACATTTTTCATATATTAACAATTACTTGACAACAAAAACACTTTGGTTAATTCTGCACATCAATATTCTAACATTAAAGATGATAAGTACAGAATTCAAGGAGAAATAGATTTAGTGTTTTATGAGGAAAAGAGAAAATGATGTATCTCTGATTGTCATCTCCTCAGTGAAATCAAAGATAATAATCAATTAATGTAGATATTAGTGCTTGTAAATATAGATTTTATGCTTATAAAAATGTTCTGGCTACGCCTCTGAGCAGGGGTAACCAATTAAAAATCAGCAGGGTTCGATCAAAGAAAATCATCAACCAGTAAAGCTGCGGAGACATTTTTAATTATTATCTGTTACTTTAAACAGAATTTAACGCTGGAATAAAATGAGGTGTTTATGCATCCATGTTATACATTCAGTTATACCGTATTAACAAGAGAAGAGGCGCAAGTGAAGTTTGACACTGTCGTTGGACAACATGCGGTAATTTTTAAATGTTTTAAATCAGGTGGGTCTGGATCGGGACCGCGGTCCGCTAATCCGTGATTGCTTTAGAGAATCTAATTTTGCTGCAAGTCCCTGATTGGTTGAGGAGAAATTAAATCCTTTGCTGGCATTGAACTGAGGTCCAGCACTGTGGAAAATGGATTAAGTATTGGATAGCAGTTCTAGACCAAATGGTCCAGGGGGCCAGGAGGGGGCCAAGAGGGGGCTGGGAGGGGGCCAGGAGGGGGCCAGCGTGTTTTCATGGGGGAACCGAAAAGCATGAAATAAAAAACAGGGCAAGGGATTCAGATATACTAATATAGCTGCATGCTTTCTATTCAATTGGGTTAATTTAAAATTATATATCTTCTTAGGTCAATATATATTCATAATTTAGAATTGTAACATATTTTTGTCTTAATTTAAGTTAGAATTACAGCTTTCTATAAAATCTCAATTAGAACTCAAGAAAAACTGATAAATTCAGCTGTAACAATAAGAGCACTTTGTTTTGAAAAAAACATTTAGCAGATGAAAACTGGGATCCTATCTCAATCCCACTTTCACATAATTGTTTTTGAATAATTAGTAAAACTGAATTTGTAAAGAAAAAAAATGAAATAGATCCAAATGACCAATCAGTAACCATGTCTGTTCCAGCGCAGATCAGCATTAGAATTTATTTTAGTATTATGTCTTCAGGGCAGGGGCCATAACAGGGGCCAGGACATGGTCTACAGGGGCTCCTGTCCCCGCTGGACCCTGTCTAGAACCGCCCATGTGTGTACTGATTGTTAATAGTTTTGTTCACCTTAATTGGAATAAATTCTCTTGTTAAAGAAATATTTTGCAAATATAATTTCTGATTGATTGGAAATTAGCCTTTAAGTCACAACTTTTAAAGAATATTTAGGTTTAAACTTGTTCATGACTATTCTTTGAGCTAATCTATTTTTTGTGGCTCTGGCAGAACGCTTAGGGAAAATGTCTTTTTCTAAACTCAAATATTTATCATCCCTCTATAGCGGGGGTGGGCAATTCCAGTTCCTGGGGGCCGGTATCCTGCAACTTTTAGATCCATCCTTGGTCCAACACACCTGAATTAAATGGCTGAGTTACCTCCTCAGTATGCAGTCGGTTCCTGCAGAGTCCCCCCAATTATCTGAGTACCGGTACTTGATTCAGGTGCGTTGAACCCAAGGCACATCTAAAAGTTGCAGGATACCGGCCCCCAGAAATTGGAATTGCCCACCCATGCTCTATAGAATAGTTTTTTGTTTTTGTTTTTTTTTCCCAGGATCGCATCGTATTAAACTCCCTCAGTATTCCTATCTAGTCTGATCGGCTTCCTAACAATAGCTTATTAAAACTGTAAACTTATTTTGGCATTTTTTTCTTTTTGTACCTTATCTGTAGAGTGCAAGACTTACAATGGGCTGATTGTGAATCTACGCAGCTCCTTAATGTTAGTTTAGGGGGGTAATTCCAAAAAAAGTCCAGTGGATTGCTTTTAATTTTTTGGAATGACTATAACCTGGATGACTGAGAATCTTCACCAGCATTTAGGGGGTTTGATGTTTTGCCATACATTACTTTACATTTTTGATTTTCATTTTAAAATCTAATCCTGTTTTTATTAACTCCCGTATAACTTTCTTCTAGATCTGACATTTCTGGATCCCCCCCCCAGATCGGTAATTTTCTATCACCTGCCACTTGTGTCTCTTCTGTTCCAACTTGGTTCTATACTGAACCACTTCCACCCGCTTAATAAAACAAACACTAAGTAAATTTTATCTGCTAATATCATTTGAATGTTTAATCCTATTTTATTAAACTAAAATCTGAAGTCTAGCAAACATTAATTCTGTATTTTTAAACATGTTTTGAAGAGTTATAGCTGTTTTTATTTATATTTGTATTTTTCAGATGACAACAGATGAAAAATAGCTCTTGGCTAATTCTGGTGCATTTGCAGGAATGCTTATTAATGTACACTGCCCCCCGTCAAATAAATAAATCTAAATCTATCAAGCAGGGGGTTGAATTCATCTCATCGGAAAACTAAACTATTTTTTTCCCCCCAAACAAAATCTCTGCGTAAATCTTTTCTTGGCTTTGTGCTTTCCTTCAGCCTTCACTCCTTCTTTTTCCACTTTATAATTATGAACCACTTCCACTTAAAACATGTTAGAGGTTTGGGTTGTGATTTGCTAAAATATGAAAAAGTTTCCTTTTACTGCAAATTGCTCATATTATTAATGCTACACTGCAAAATCTATCTAGAAATAAGTAAAAAAAAAACATTTATTAAGTGCATTTACCCTTAATTTGATTAGGTAAATAAGATGATTTGCTTAAAATAAGATAATTAGATAAAACGCACAATTCTTTTTTTTCTTATTTTAAATGTAAATCATTGAGTTCCATTGGCAAACTGTCTCACTCAGGTCATTAATTCCAGAAAAGATGCACTTATTTTAGGAAAAAAAACAACTTATTTAGATCTACTTTTTTGCAGTGTAAAAAAAAACACAACTCTAGGGAAATACATTATATCAACAAAATAAATACAAAAACAAATCAGCAAACCGTAACATACGGAAGAGGATTAGGGCCACTGGAAAAAAAAAAAAAGAAAACTGATTTTTAAATTTTATTTCAGTTTAACATGGGAAAAAAGTCAGAATTCTGAGAAAAAAGTCAGAATTCTTTTTTCCCATGTTAAACTGAAATAAAATTTAAAAATCAGTTTCCTTTTTTTTCAGTGGCCCTAATCCTCCTCCGTATATCAAAGAACGAGAAAGTTTTGATTTTTGTTTTTGCAATACTGGGGGTTTAAAATTCTCATGTTTCTTTTTTCTACATAGATTAATAGCGCCCTCTCCTGTCAAACAAACATCTAACAAGTGCGTCGTAATTACCTAGAAGTGCAACATTTCCAATTTATTAGATTTTTCTTCTGTTTGCATGGATCGCATGTGATCTGGATTTAAATCTGCAGGATAAAAACCTTCGTTGACTCTTGAATCCCACAGTTGGTCATTGATCTGTGGCGTTAGAGGCGCATCTGCGCGTTCGTGGCTCCAGGGTCACACCTTCTGCAGACAGCTGCGCAGGAGGAAGGTGATTCCCTGCAGGCAGTTGGAGCAACTCACCGACCACAGGGGGAAAATAGACTAATTAGAAGAAAACGTGGGCTGCTTTCAGACAGTTTCCACATCTTGCTGAGAGAGGAGACTCGGCATAGATGCAGGCTCATCCACTGGGCATGCTCAATCTGCTTTGGAAACAGGAGCAGAAAGACTCGGTGTGGATAACAGGCAGTTTGGGCGTTTTTGTTTTTGTCTTTTGAGAAGGATCATCATGGTAGTGGTCATCTTCGCTTCTCATCAGTCTGTCTGGTAGAAGAAAGAGGATCCTTCAGCCTTTAATCTGATTTGGGATGTTCTTCATCCCGATCGCGCCTGAATGACAGCAGTGATCTGATCCGATCTGCTGAGACAAAGAGCAGCGGTGGCGGAGAGAGGGAGCAGGCTGAGCTCAGCGCGAAGGAGGGCAGTCTGTAGGCAGTCTGCATCAGGCGCTGTCCGCTCAGCACCACCGCAGTCACCTTGCTGTGTCACGAACATCTGGTTCTAACCGTTTGAGATCTTCTATGAGAACATCTAGCAGCGATGTGACGTCCTTCCCTTTAAGGTGATCCCATTGGCTGCACTCATTTTGGATTTCGATACCTTCAGCAGAGCCTGACATTATTAGTCTACAATCCACCAGATGCATGTCACATGCTGGTAAAGGAAACAGGGTAGTGGAGGGGATGCATGAACATTTCAAACACATTCCTTCCCAATTGGCGACAGGTTGCTTTCGTGCGTAATTGCTGTGCGCTGTTAGCGGGGTCCGCCTAGACTGACCTTTGCAATGAGGGGAACTTAGTGGAGAAATGCATACGGGACGCGATGGGCCTGAGCGACGACAAGGATCGCATTGTGATCAACGTGGGAGGGATCAGACATCAGACATATCGCAGCACCCTGCGCACCCTACCTGGAACCCGCCTGTCCTGGTTGGCCGAGCCTGATGCGCCGAACCACTTCGACTATGACGCCAAGATCGACGAGTTCTTCTTCGACCGCCATCCGGGCGTCTTTGCACACATCCTTAACTATTACAGGACAGGTAAACTGCACTGCCCGGCCGACGTCTGCGGGCCGCTGTATGAGGAGGAGCTGGCCTTCTGGGGCATCGATGAGACAGACGTGGAGCCATGCTGCTGGATGACCTATCGACAGCACAGGGAGGCGGAGGAGGCCCTTGATAGCTTCGGGGGAGGGGGTCTGTTAGACCTGGGGAGTGAGGATCCGGAGCCAGAGCCGGAGCATGAGGATGATGATGAGATGACCAGGAGGCTGGCGCAGGGAGACTCACCTGATGTGAGGAGCGGCAGCCTGTGGAGCCGCTGGCAGAAGCGGGTCTGGGCTTTGTTTGAGGATCCATACTCTTCAAAATATGCAAGGGTGAGTCTTTCCCATTCTGGGTGGATCTAATGATGTAGCAGTACAAGCAAATGGTCCGGACTGATGCGCAATTCATCCAATATAATGAATGGAGAACAGAACTTTTAAATAGCTGCTGGTGAAAGTCCTCAGTCATCCAGGTCATAGTCATAACAAAAAAAAAAAAAAAAA